AGAGGTCCAGGCAGGACCCTTATATCCACCCCCAAGGGAAGGACCCAGCCAGGCCTGCAGCCTCTGTGACCACTGATGGAGTTGTGAGACAGCTAGCGGCTTCTCTCAGGGGTATTGTGGGTTCTTCTATGGCCCAGACTCAAGGGGGGGCAATAACCTATTTCATTTTATTTTTATTTTCCAGTTCTCTCAGGCCAGGCACACCACAGCCCTTTGAAACGATCTGTGTCCCTTACCCCACCCATGAATGTGCCAAACCAGCCTCTAGGACATGGATGGATGTCTCATGAGGACTTGCGAGCTAGAGGACCCCAGTGCCTCCCATCCGATCATGCCCCCCTGTCTCCACAAAGCAGTGTAGCCTCTTCAGGAAGTGGTGGGAGTGAACACTTAGAAGATCAGACCACTGCTCGTAACACATTCCAAGAAGAAGGTAGTGGTATGAAAGGTGAGTGACGGAATGAGAAACCACTGGGAACAGAGCCCCTGTCTTTATCTGGAGTCAGAGGGTAGAAGGAGAGGGAGTCAGCCAGAGAGAAGGAGCCCCCAGGCCCGTGTGTTGGGCTCCTCCAGGGCAGAGCTCCCGTCCCGGGTTGACCATGGAGGAAAGGGCTCAGATTCCCCTTCCAGGGCTTCTTGCCAAAACCTGGAAACAAGACCAGAGCAGGAGAGGTCAGCGCCCTTTTGAATGAATTACATTTTTTAAAGCAGTGGCTTGCAGGCAATCAAATGAGTCCCAGCCAACGCTGGTAGGACCTACTGCTTGCGCGTACACTGCTCAGCCTGCCCTGTATGTAGAGACGCTGAGCTGCTCCAGCCTTCTGCCTTCTTGGCCGTGTGTTGCCATGGCCAGGGAACCGCCAACAATTTAGCAAAACAAACCATAGGGTCTCCCCCCCCCCCGCCCAACCTCTCTCAATGCAGAACTGTAGCAGTGCTTTCTTTCCCTCTCCCTTTCCCTTTGATATCCAAAGAAACCTTTCAGCCCTTTTCTCTGCTTCTGTTGAAGGGATATGAAAATATCACTGGGAATCTGACAGTGTTTTTTAAGCCTGATAACAGGTTTGCATACAGATGATAAAGACCTTTTGTGCAGCATAAATAAATGTTCCTACATTGCCCTCTAAATCTACCCTCTTCTAAAAAGGCTCGTCAGGAGATAAAGATCTCCAAATTACCCACGATCGGTTCAAAGAGGATTCGTGCATCCTGTATTTCTA